ATGATAAAAAGTTACAAAGAGAATAAGTATGTTTATGTATAGTTAAGATAATATTTCACCCAGGTAAAACTCATCTGGTTTTATGAATGACCGTCATTGAAGTATGAACAATATGCATGCGATCCACAGCTCACCCTTCTTTCCTTCATAATTTAGTATTCACAAATCTAAGAAAAGTTGAACTGCATGAGTCTCTGCAGGGGAAATGCAAATATTTGCATGTAGATGAAATGCTTCTTTAACAGGATAAATGAGATTGTTTAGGAACTCATGGGATGCAGTTTACTAGGTGAAACCTAATGGTGATTTTCATAGACCACCAGTTTTGTTTATGTGTGAATAGTTAGCAGTCGTGTTTGTGGTTAAGCCATGCAATGATCCTCATGACACTGCCTAGGGCTACGACTGATAGTGTAGTTGTGAAGTCAAATTGTGAGGCAAAATAAAAAGTGTGTTTCATGTGAACTCTGTCCTTACATACAGGGACTAACCAAGTGATGATGCCTGTTGGAACTGCCGAGACTACCTAATAACCTCCTCCATGAAGAACTGGAAAACTAAAGCTGCCATCAGAAGGCTAGATGTGGAAGGCAAGAAAAATGAGAGAGGAAGAAATGATTCAGAGCCCAAAGAAATGCAAGGCAGTCGAGGTGAGGTTTTGAGATAGACACTTTTTCCCATGTCCTCAAATTGCAGTAGGCAGCGGTATTTAAGGGAGGTGGCAGTGCCCTCCCAGGAGGGCATTTGAACACGGGGGAGGGCTTTTTCCTTTTAGTATTTACAACAGTTGGGCATCCTACTGGCATTTAGCCAGCCAGGGCCTGGGAGAGTAAACAGCTTGCAACTCATGAGACATTTCTGTACAGCAAAGAATTGCCCAGCTCAAATGCCAGCACTAGCCCAACTGAGAAGCACGGATGGAGTGCTCTGCTTACGTGCACCACTCTGCCAGCTAAGTGGCATTTTTTCTGTAGTAAATCCTAGCATGGCTAAAAAATGACCCTTGCCTCGAGGGCTGGCTTCCAGTGCGAATAGCTGCTATAGGATTCTCTCTCTTTTTTTTGGTGCCAGAAATCTTACAGTGTATACAATAGGGTTTCTTAATTTGGGATGACCCTGTCTTCAAAAAAGCATAAGTGAGCTATTTTGGGGTTGTTTTCTAGAAATGCTAATGGTGGTTTGCCATTTCCACAAAGAGTTTAAGCTTAATGGTTACAAAAAGTAAACGGAAAGTGAAAATGAGAATGGTTTGGGAGTATTCCACCCTATTTCTACCACCCTTTGATCACTAACAAATTATAATAGCGCCTCGGGCTGCTCTTCGAAAATTCGGTGTCCTCTATCTGGAGATGGGCTTTCTCTCAGAAAGATGGTCCTATTAATTTGATGATTACTTTTGCCATTGCATTCTCCTCTAGGAAATAGTTCAGCTGGAAAAGTTCATTCTGCTTTGGCAAGTGAAATACTGTGACAGACACTTAGACACGCAACAGTGGAAGAATAGCCAGTTCAAGTGGCCATGGGAAAATTTTGTAAATAAATCATTATCTTAGTGGTTCCTTAGTGCTTGTAACATTCTCTAACCATGTGAAGAAATTAATTCTTGTCTCAAAATATATATTTCATTAGTAAGGTTAGGCTTCATAATATGATTGTATCTAGGAATGTTTAAGGCTACCATACTGATGAAATGACAATAAATTTGTATGTCTTATACTAGCTTGATTCCATCTTACCTCCTTTGAAGATTTCTCATTAGGTGTAAAATGTGCTGCTGGAACCACTTAGAGAAGTATTCTGACACTTCTGAAGAGCTTTCACTGTTTAAATGTGGAGACACTGTTATGTGATAGACAAGGTTGCTTTTTTCTATTGTGAATGCAGTATAATTTGTGACAGTTGTGTCTGATTCTATTAAGGATAAATACAATGCCTGTTTTGTGTTAAAATGTGGTACACATTAGGATATGCAGTGTTAGTGCAGATTTTTCTATTTTAGGTGTAAGCTATTGTATTTTTTTTAAAGTGCCAATGCAGCACTGAATTAATTGCAGGTTGTAAAACTTGAGTTATGAGTTTTAAGGACTTATCTCTCATTTTCAATATTTGATGATTATTAAGGAGTGTATTTAATTCCTATATTTCCTTAAAAAGATTTTCCCTGACATTTCAGAAGTTTCTCCTAACACAATATATTTACTAACATAAGAGAAAGGTAAATGATTACAATCAATATGCTAATACAGGACATGAAAATGAAAGCAGAAAGTCAATTTTTCTGGATAAATCAGATAGAATGTGTTTTTTCCCCTTCAATTTGAAACAGCTGTTCAAATACCCAAACTAGTTCTCTACTATAGATTTAATTTTAGGAATTATCATAAAGGTAAACTATATTGAACAACAACAAAAAAAATGCAAGCTATTTCACACATATAGGAAATTATCAGGCAAGGCTGCCTAAAATTAATGCTAATCATCAGAAACTAATTTTGTCAGAACATGAAGATAATCCTAAAGCTCATGGCATCTTCTTATTACCTTAACGTTAAGGTTCTTTTTCTCCATTTTAAAAAATATGGAAATGACCACTTTTGTTTTTACAAAATCAAACTAGTCTGTCTAGTTCTTTCGTGCCTGAACTTTTCTGGAGATGGACTTGTTTTTCTTCCTTAATCATATCTTAGGGACTCAGAAAAACCACTTACTTCTATGTCAGCCTAATGTTGCACATTAAATAGGAAAAACCCTGATTTTGTACTGGAAGAACCCAACTCACACACACATTTATTTTTACAGAACCGCAGCTTACTGGCTGGATTGCAGAAATGCTGGCACTAGGCAGATACATAATTCTATGGCGGCTGGTCCACATCCTCGTATCCTTTCAGAGCTGCTTTGCAAGAGACCTCTGGATGGGCTGCTGATGTGGATATGCAGTGTTTCTGCCTTTTAAAATTAGCTATTAGAGCTTCACTCTGTGAATGTAGCTTAGCTCATAATCCTTTCATTCTTTTTATTTAAAGGATCATTCCAATGAAATAATTCATGGTTCCAATTCTTAAACTAGTAGTGGTTAATTTTTTTTTTTAATTTTCTTAAAAAAAAAAGAAAAGTTTAAAACTTTTCCCTACACACATCAATCAGTAGAAGAGAAAGTATGGGTAGTTCATAAATCTGACATGTCATAGCAAGAAAACAATATATTGAGGACCCAGAATCTTATTTTCCTTTTCAGAGTCTTATTTTTTGTACTAAGTGCATCTCACTATAGGGAATTAAAAATTATATCACATGTACTGCTAGGGGGAAAAAGATGGTTCCTTTTATCAACCAAATAGAGACTTTCTATGACATGCATCTTGAGTGACAAACCAGTGATAAATGTCTTATATTTGCCATTTTGATAGGAGCCTTGTGACTAGAAATTAAAACAATGTTTTAAGATTATAAGTATAGAAAATTAAAATAACATTACATGCCTTGGTATTTTTCCTAAGACACTAAAATGACAATAAAACAATACCAAAAGGAAAAACATGACTTCAGCAAAAAAACCTGGAACATTGTTAATATCTATGGCTGGATTTAAACATTATGAAATGAACAAAATTTCAATCAGATTAAAGATACTAGGGCATGCAGAAAAATTTTTTCAAAGCAAAAATAAGTTATTCTATCAAAGAAATGACAATAGTGCAAAATTCTAGGTTTATTGTATTAATGCACACAGCTGTGTACAGCAAGAGAGGCAACGATGCCCGCTACTTTTCTTAGTTATAAAATGGTCCTGGCTTTTTTGTAATAGGCCAAGTGGGACGACATTTTTTATTTCTTACAAATCCAATTTTAAGTGGTTCTTTAAAATATAAATGAATGGCAGGACCCAAATTTACCCATTAGATTAAATGTCTGCTTTTGGTTGAAATAGAAAATTACAGTTTTCCATACAATGAACCAGAATCACTTCAGAAAATCCTAGTCCAAACTCTGAGAATAAAATAGTCTCTTTAGGTCTTGTTGTGTTGTTCTATATCACATGTGTTTTTAATAAAAGGGGCACAAAATAATTGTGAAAGAACAATTAGATGCAAGGTAGTATTTACACGTGGTCATAGGTACTTGGGAGCGGAAGCCACGCTATGCCCATGACTCCATGGAAAATAGCAAGATGACAATAATGGCTTCTTAATGTAAACAATATTGACTGTAGGCTCATGGGGAAATCTTTCGTAACTTTAATTCACTTTTGTATTGAAAGTCAGTTCTGTATTTATGGATGCAATTTGCAGACTCTTAAAATACCAAATGAAGTTCTCCTTACTTAACAACTTAGCAGAAATTTTCTGTTCTTTTAAGCCTTTGGGTGAGTGTTTTTTTTTTTAATCCATGTGCTTTATTTTTTTTAATAGCAGCAATCCAACTTAATGCAGCATGAAAACTAAGTAGTTCTTTCCGTTCCCATTCAGAGCCAACTGCTGGCAGAACACCTGTATTTTGCTTAAGTTTAACTTTGGATTCAGACTTTTTTAAAAGGTGTCATGATTGTAGATAGTATCTTCCTTAAATCAAGTAGGACTGTTTCAACTTTGGAGATAACTAAGCTAGGGAAAGACCAAAAGATTCATTTTTTTTTTTTTTTCAAAAGATTCATTTCTAAAGCTTGCTACAGATTTATAGGGTCGCATTACCTCTTTATTCCCAGTCCTGTTATCCTTGTGGAAGATTGGTATGTAGGTAAGGAGTATTTAAAAGAATGTAAAGTGTGTATAGCTATGCTACTTGAAGCATGCAACAAAATTTGGGTAAGCATGCTTATTAAGAGTCAGTAAAAGCCTCTTGCATTTAAGAAAAAGATACATGAAAACACTCAGACTTATTTCTGGCAACTGGATTCACTGGCACAATGACAAGAAAATAATGGTACTACGCTGCACCAATATAATGGTGAAACAAGAATATTCTTCTAGGATCAGGTCTAAGAAATCCACATTGAGTGATTAAACTCCCAAACTCCTTAATAAGTTCTCAATTACCCAAAGCCTCTTCAAAAATACACTTATGCTTCTTTTTCCTTTTTGCATTAACATAATGAAGTATTTCTCTTGCTTTCTGATTTTCACCGCCCTCCCCCTTCGCCCCCCACAACCCTTTCCAGTGCTCAGAAATTCCATTCCCCATTCTTTAACCCACACTCTCAAATGTGGCTTTCTGGCAACAGCGATTGTCTTCTGCTCATCTTCTTTGATTAAAACTCCTGATGAAGAATAACTGGCGTAAACATGGTGCTCTTTACCATCAGACCACATGCTGGACAGCAGGGTCGCTGAACAGCTGGGTCGCTAAACCATCCCCTTTGCTTGTTGGCCCATCCGGGCTGTACAAGTAGGGAGCATTTTCCACACGCGTCCTCCACCACAAGTTAAACAGAAACACACACATTCAAATCCCAGTGCAATATCAGGTTTTCAAGAAGCGAGGCTTCCGCCCAAGGTGATCAGTCTGTTTCCCAAGAGTCTCATGCTTCATTATGGACGATGAAACCTGAAATACGAAACAGAAACTCTGTGATGTGGTAGAGAAACACAACTCTATTCAGTGACGTGAATATGGTACAGTCATGTTTATGATCAAAGGTGGCTCTAGCATCCCCAACTGAATTACTGGTCTCTTAATAAATTACTGTCATAACAGAAGATTGTTATAAATGTCATGTGGGAAAACAGACAGGTCTGCAAAAGATGCTGGTTTTATCATCTGAGATAGAGAGCAATCAATACACAAAACATCACTATCTTGAGGGCCATGTTCTAACCGATATTGAACAAAGTGAGACATTTCATAAAGGATTTGGTTACACCTGATGTGTCATTACAAAAAGGAAAACACCATCATGTAGCAGTCACTATTTCATTAGCTTCAGCCTCTCTTCACTTGCTGCTGAAGACTCCAAATGTATTTTCTATACCTGAATTTTCAAACACCTCCCAGGCATTTCCTTACAAATGTTCCACAGGCAACATACTAAACATGTATACAGATACACAAATTATCTTTCCTTGTGAACCTGCCTTTATGCTTTCTATCTTGTTAAATGTTCTACCTTTTAAAATACTTTCAGTGTAGAAGCCTAAGATTGCAACTTTCTCCCTTTCACCCTCCATGTCTCATTAGTCACCAAGTCCTGCCCCGACTGCCTGTCTCTGGATTCATTCAAGCCTTTGCCACCTTTTGCTGAAACTACTAATGATACTAACAGCATGCTAGCTAGCTGGCTGGATTCATGCCCCTCCATGAACAGTCCTTGTGATTTTGTAGCCCTCTGCTTTTGAACATGTTTCTCTCTAATATTGCAATCACTCCTTTCATTTTCCATGTATGTTTTCATATCTAAAATCAAGGTCAAAAGCCATCTTCTCCAGAAGCCCTTATCTGATTCACTTCTTCAGCCTACTTCTGTGATTCCAAATTATGCAATTCTACTTGGTATTTCATTTATCTTGCCTACTCTCATGTTCATTTGTTCAAGTAAAATCTAATGTTCATCTGCCCAGACTCCAAATTAATTTCCCTGTCTCAGGCTCATAGATTGGGAGATTAAATCTATGCTCCACACTGTCACTGGCATTATTATCATAAATATTGATCCAATCATCCTAGATCTTTGTTAATATCATTGCACTGTTCCCCACTATTGATAAAATTTAAATTTCTTAGAGTGATGGCTGAGGCTTTTCAGGCTGTGGCCCAACCCATTTTCTAACTTCACAACCACTCCCTAAATACCCTAAATTCCAATCATGTGCCCTACTAAAGGCTCTCCACTTTCCTTTACCCTTATCTTTCCTCTCATCTCTATCTCTTACAATCTTCCTCTGTGAGTTCCCCAAAATCCTTTTTCCTCCACCTCTCAGAAAAGCAATAATTGCTTCTATTCTGTGTACCCACAATATTTGGTTTATACCAGTTACTGATCATTGTGTGTGTGTGTGTGTATGTATGTATGTATGTATGTGTGTGTGTGTGTGTGTGTATGGGTGTATCTCCTTTTAGATCGTGAGATGCTAAGAAAAGACTTGGGCTTATTCACTTTCATATACTCATAGAATACATTATCTAGCATATGGTATTACTTAATAAATGTTGCTATGTTGAATCAAGCATTAAAAACAAAAAATTAAAGACAGAAGAACAGATGAAACAAGATTGGCTATAAGTTGATAATTGGAGCTATATGAAGGCTGTATGGAGCCTGTGACATGACATTACTTCAGCATGTTCGACCAGAAGTCAAAATAAAATAGGTTATACCAAGTTTTCCAAAACGAGCAAACACGTTGTGATTCAAGTAGGGATGTGTCCACTATGAGTTCAATTCTTGACTCTGTTCTGTCCACACCCTTCGGCAGGTGTGTGAACATCCATGTTCCACAGTGTTACACAGGGATAACATGATTGCTTCAGTCACCTGAGCTTTATTCCTGCCCTCATGCAAAATCCTTCCCACCTCAGGCCTCTTGCAGCAGCTCTCCCCACTACATTAGCTGATACCCTTAGGGGAAGTGTTTTTCTCTCCCCAAACAGTGCTGGCAGCTTCCTCTTGTCATTTAAATCACAGAGTAAGTTTAATTTCCTCCAGAGACCCCGTTCTTAGCCATTCTATCCATATCCACCCTCGCTCTTGGCACATCGTCCTGCTCCCTTTTTTTTTCATAGCACTTAGCACTGTCTGAAATGATCATGTCTAGGGGCTTCCTGAGTGGTCCCACAGCTAAGACTCCGTGCTAAATGCAGGGGGCTCAGGTTCGACCGCTGGTCAGGGAACCAGATCCCATGTGCTGCAACTAAGACCCAACATAGCCAAGTAAATAAATATTTAAAATAAAAAAGAGCACCAACACTTTTAAAAAGAAAAGAAGTGATTATTGTCTATTTGTTCATTTACTTGCTAACTGTCTGTCTCCCTCACTAGAACACAAGCATGTGAGAGTGAGGACTTAGACACGTTCTAAACTCCTAGGGTCCAGAAGAGTATGATTCACTCTCTGTGCTCCGTAAATACTTGCTAACACATGAACGACTGAGTACATATTTATAGGTGCACTTGGTTATTTGATTACTTGTTCTATAAGTAACTGTATGTAACTGAAGAGTTTAATCATGAGATCCACTTAACACAATTGCACCTGAGTATATACTGATCCATGATAACCCATTTGATATGATATTCCATCATGCTTTCTAGGAAGAGTCAACTATAACCTGAAGAAAAACTATGCAAATTGTATAAAAATATTTCAAGACTAATTGAAAACCTCTTAAAATCAAACATATAAAACGTGAAAGAAAGAGAGGCAGTTAATACCTAACTATTAAATTTGGTGGCACTAGCAGTAAAGAATCTGCCTGCCAATGCAGGAGACATGAGATGAGGGTTCTAGCCCTGGGTCGGGAAGATCCTCTGGAGGAGAAAATGGCAACCCACTCCAGTATTCTTGCCTAGAAAATTTCCATGGACAGAGGAGCCTGACAGCCTACAGTCCACGGGGTTGCAAAGAGTCACACATGACTGAGCACACACATTAAATTCTACTATGTGCCTAGCACAATTCCAAGTGCTATACATATACTACCGCATTTAATCTTCAAAATAATCCTATGAGGTAAGTACTCCTGTATCCTTTTTGTACAGATGTAGAAACTGAGGCACAGGGATGCTCAGTCATGTACTCAAGGCAGAGAGCTTGAAGGCCAGGCTCTAGACTCTGTGTTCCTAACCTATGTGAGACTATGAGATTAAGACATGTCTGTCTATGCGTGCGTGCATGCTAAGTCGCTTCAGTTGTCATCCATGATTTCATTCAAAGGGTACTTTTGTTGCCCTCTGGATAGAACGGAATGGAAAACGTAATCAACTGGATTTCTACACCCACCAGTTTTGATCAATTCTGACCAGAGAAAAATCTTGGTCCACATTTCCAGGCTACACTTTGATTGCTACAGTTGTCTCAAACACATCTGCCTTTTGCTGCCACAAAGAGAACTAGATGAAAATGGGCTCAGCACAAACTTTTCTCAATTACCAGAAAAAGCCAGGCCAGTGATGTCCTGGGGTGGGGGGCGGCAGGGAGAGTGAAACAAGAAGCAGGACAGAGGAGCACCACCCACACCACATGGAGGGAGGAGGAATAGCCCTGGGAGCTCTGACAACACAAACATACTGCACCTGCAGGATCTTCACACCCTGACCTATCAAAGATCCCTCTTTGTAGCAATTTTTTAAGGTCTCTCCAAATTTGCAGGACCAATCATTCCACAGTGTCCTAATCTTCACTTGGTCTTGGGTTCCAAGGACACGAGAGGCTTTCTCTTCAATCAGTAATGTCTCTGGGATGAAGAAGGTAACTTAAGAATAGGGTTGGGTGGGACCTCCCAATGCAAGGGTCCTGGGTTCGATCCCTAGTCAGGGAACTATATCCCGCATGCTGCCACTAAGATCCGGTGCAGCCAAATAATAAATAAATAAATATTTAAAAAGAAATTGGGTTGGGCAACAATGGGAGTAGCCAGTGGACCAAATAAGATTTAGAACCTTTTAAAACCCAGTATTTTCCTGGAACATGTCCTGCTTTTAATTTCCAAAAATTAGCAGGACACAACGAAATTTTTTGTGTTTTTCTGCAGACGCTATTCACCCATGGATCCCATTACAGAATGAGTTCACAGACTGGATTTTGTTGGAAAGTCAGGCCATCAGCATAGTGTCTAGACTGGCGAGGAGAAGATGACAACTAACCAGTACTCTGCGGTAATATGCTGACAAAGTTGGGGGGTCAGAACTGTAACCTCTCCTTATAAGCACTGCCCAGATCTGGTCAAAATACCCATATATTTTCTTACACTATCCAATCAGAAAGGAACATTTATATCCTGTTTAAATTAGGCATCTTATCTTCAAAATCAACTCCAACATTTTATGGTGAGAGGTGCTGAAAATGCAAATTTTTCTTAAGTTTGGTACCACTCAGTGGCTTGCATTCATTTTGAGGTACACTGAAGTTCAGCTTTACCTCCGGGGAAGTTTGCCTATCTGACAGTTTGGCTTTAGGCTTCAAGTTGATGAAGCAATAAATAGAATTACTGTGCCCTCATGATCCTTAAGCTTCTCGTCTATCCTTTTGTCAGAACTTTCCTGAAACTCAAACTTGGAAGCTATCTATATTTTCTTCTTGTTAAAAACATCAATAATTTTTTTCTTATATTCATACTTTTGAGAGAGAGTGAATAGAAGCAAAACACCAAGTCATGGAATTCAGGTAAAGATAACTCTCATAATGGTTCCTACACAAATACATAAAAATTTTCACCTTCCTATAAATTCATTCCTGATAATATAAAATATGAAATGACTCACTAAATGTAAAATATTACTTTTCTATACTTCCCCAGTTGATATATTCAGAAATCCTGAGTTAATTAATTTCCTCTTTATTTAAAAGGGTTTAATGATCAAGGCACATACAATTATGTTAAACAAATGAGGA